CACCCTCACAAGGGATAGGCTAATCACACAAACATAATCTCAAATTTTCATAATATTAACTCTTCTATTGAATCATTGAGATTACACATATATTTATAGGCTAAAGACTTTCCTAATTCTATAAGGACTATTTCTCAAATTTAGAAACTAAAAAATATTTAGCAACTACTAATATTCTAGACTAACTATGACTTCCAATTCTACTTCAATCATAATAGGAAACTTTAATGACTTCTAATTCTACTTCAATATCAAAATACGAAACTTGGACTTTCGACTACTAAGACTATTTTAAACACAATAAAACCTATATATAATAACCCATTTAATAACTTGACCCAAAATAAAACCCATAGGTGATTCCTACAACCCATGTCTAACAATTATTGAAATTACCATTATACCCTCAATTACTAAAACCTACTATAATGACATGAAGACTCAAAATTATTCCAAATTTTTAATTCTTGATGCTCTAAATGTGCTTCATGTGAAATTCCTGATTTGCTCTTTTTCTTCTTTCCATGATCTTCATCATTCTCCCCTCCATTCAAAAAAACTCAACCACGAGTTTTATAATGTTGAAGTATAAGGATTACGGAATCTTACACTTGCAACCATTCAACTTGATTGTTTGGAACGAACGATGAGAAAATCAAAAAGTTCAATGTTGTCATCACTCCATTGACCACATCAAATTTGTCAGGAATAATAAACTCAATGTGAACTTCATTTTCTTGTGAAGTGTAGAAAGTTCAATTGCATTCTCATCATTTTCTTGGGCTTCCTTGGCTTTAGAACATTGATCATGATGTTCTTTCATGCTTTCTTTAGTAAGCAATTTCTTCAATATCCTCAATATTAACAGCATATTCATCTTGTTCTTTCATAGTTTCTTCAAAATCTTCAACACTATCATCTTTTTGCTCCTAGATATTAGTCTTCTGTAAAACAACAACCAACAATCCTTCCATGGAAGCTTTCAATTCCTTCACAGTTGTCTTGATAGTATGCACATCACTCTTTATTGTTGCAACATCCTCTTTAATTATCGCAAAATCCTCCTTTAACATCGCAACATCTTTGTTAGTAGCTCTATAACTTGTTGACCAGGTTTCAAATTTCCAATTTAATTCAATGCTTGTCAACATTGTAATAAAGAAAGCAATTTCATCAAAAGATTGGCAAGGAACAAGGTAGGATCTTGAAGCTCTAATACCAAACTGATGTAGGACGAGTAGGGATTACTTTCCTACAAGTAGTGAGCCCGGTTTAAATATATTGGCAGCAGTAATAATAGACTTAGAGGGCTGAATTTTGTGAGATTTTGTGGCTGCAAAAGTATTTTAAAAAATAGGAGTTTAAGGATTTGCAAAAAAGGGAGGGTTTTGGGATGAAAACACTAGTGTTTAGAGACAGTTGGGTGGTTATTCTAAGCACTGTGAACAGTAACCTTGCTGGATAGAAGAAGAAGAAGGGTTATTCTAAGCACTGTGAACAGTAACCTTGCTGGATAGAAGAAGAAGAAGAGAGAGAGAGAGAGAGAGAGAGAGAGAGAAGTGCTTCACCCTCACAAGGGATAGGCTAATCACAAAAACATAATCTCAAATTTTCATAATATTAACTCTTTTATTGAATCATTGAGATTACACATATATTTATAGGCTAAAGACTTTCCTAATTCTATAAGGACTATTTCTCAAATTTAGAAACTAAAAAATATTTAGCAACTACTAATATTCTAGACCAACTATGACTTCCAATTCTACTTCAATCATAATAGGAAACTTTAATGATTTCTAATTCTACTTCAATATCAAAATAGGAAACTTGAACCTTTGACTACTAAGATTATTTCAAACACAATAAAACCTATATATAATAACCTATTTAATAACTTGACCCAAAATAAAACCCATGGGTGACCCCTACAATCCATGTCCAACAATTATTGAAATTACCATTATACCCTTAATTACTAAAACCTACTATAATGACACAAAGACTCAAAATTATTCCAAATCTTTAATTTTTGATACCCTAAATGTGCATGTGAAATTCCAGATTTGCTCTTTTTCTTCTTTCCATTATCTTCATCATTCTCCCCTCCATTTAAAAAAGCTTGACCTCGAGTTTTATAATGTTGAAGTATAAGGATTATGGAATCTTGCCCTTGCAACCATTCAACTTGATTGTTTGGAACGAATGATGAAAAAATCAAAAAGTTCAATGTTGTCATCACTCCATTGACCACATCGAATTTGTCAGGAATAATAAACTCAATGTGAACTTCATTTTTCTTGTGAAGTGTAGAAAGTTCAGTTGCATTCTCATCATTCTCTTTGGCTTCCTTGGCTTGAGAACATTGATCATGATGATCTTTCATGCTTTCTTTAGTAAGCAAGTTATTTTTCGCCTTCCTTTCTTCAATGTCCTCAATATTAGCAGCATATTCATCTTGTTCTTTCATGGTTTCTTCAAAATCTTCAAGACTATCATCTTTTAGCTCCTGGGTATTAGTCTTCTGTAAAACAACAGCCAACAATCCTTCCATAGAAGCTTTCAATTCATTCACAGTTGTCTTGATAGTATGCACATCACTCTTTATTGTTGCAACTTCCTCCTTAATTATCGCAAAATCCTCCTTTAGCATCGCAACACCTTTGTTAGTAGCTCTATAACTTGTTGACCAGGTTTCAAATTTCCAATTTAATTCAATGCTTGTCAACATTGTAATAAAGAAAGCAATTTCATCAAAAGATTGGTAAGGAACAAGGCAGGATCTTGAAGCTCTGATACCAAATTGATGTAGGGCGAGTAGGGATTACTTTCCTACAAGTAGTGAGCCCGGTTTAAATATATTGGCAGTAGGAACAATAGACTTATAGGACTGGATTTTGTGAGATTTTGTGGCTGCAAAAGTACTTTAAAAAATAGGAGTTGAAGGGTTTGTAAAAATGGTAGGGTTTCTGGAAGAAAACACAAGTGTTTAGAGACAGTTAGGTGGTTGTCCTAAGTACTGTGAACAGTGACGTGAACAGTAACCTTGCTAGATAGAAGAAGAAGAAGAAGAAGAAGAAGAAGAAGAAGAGAAAGAGAGAAGTGCTTCACCGTCACAAGGGATAGGCTAATCACAAACATAATCTTAAATTTTCATAATATTAACTCTTCTATTGAATCATTGAGATTACACATATATTTATAGGCTAAAGTCTTTCCTAATTCAATAAGGACTATTTCTCAAATTTAGAAACTGAAAAATATTTAGCAACTACTAATATTCTAGACCAACTATGACTTCCAATTCTACTTCAATCATAATAGGAAACTTTAATGACTTCTAATTCTACTTCAAAATCAAAATAGGAAGCTTGGACCTTTTACTACTAAGATTATTTTAAACATAATAAAACCATTATATGATAACTCATTTAATAACTTGACCCAAAGTAAAACTCATAGGTGACCCTTACGGGTCATTCTATTTACACGCCACTTTATCTCTCAAGGCAAATCATTAATTAATTTATTTTTTATTACAATTTTAACCTTAAATGAAATGACTATAAAGGACAAATTATGGTACGCTCCCACTTTCCCTCCTCATCTTTTCGTTCCTACCACTTTTGCTTTGGCATCTCTGCCTGTTTGCTTCTAGAGAAAAGAAAAGAAGAAAAAGAAAAAGTAAAGAAACCTCCATGGACTCAAAGCTCTGTGGTGTCCCTCTTTCTGCAACACAAGCGACCCCAAAGCCAAAGCTCTCTCTTTCCACCTCATCACCAGGTTCTTCTTTTTCTTCTCTCCCAACCAGAGCTCCTCCTACTGTTGATTCTGATTTTGAATTCTCTCTATCAACCAACGGTCAAGAAAATTATAGCAGTAGCTATGAAAGTGACAGTGCGTTCGGGTCTGATGGGTTTGTGAGTGGTGAAGATGGGTTTGATACGGCTTCGGAGAAGCTATTTGTTACAGACCCAGATGATGAAACCCTAGGAGAGAGTAGGGTTGTTGAGGATTGTGTTGTTTCTAGGCCTTTTGTGACTGACCCAGATGAAGAAACCTTGGAAATAACCATGGAAGAGGAGGAGGAGGAGGAAGAGGAGGAGGAGGAGGAATATGTTGATGAACCACTCAGAAAACAGGGTGTCCCGATTGCCATGTTGTCGAGAGACAACGACGATGATTCTATGGGCTCTGAGGAGGAGGAAGATGATGGAGTTTTGGATTCTGTTAGGGTTCCTGGTATCCGAATTTCAGAGAAGACTGAGGTTGAAGGAGGAGAAGATGAGTCACAATTTGAACCCGTTATGGGTTCATCAGAAGGGTGCATTGCTTTGAAGGACTCTGTGTTGAGCACCAACACAGTGTTCACAGGTTGAAACTAAGAATGGAGGGAGGAAGATGGAAGAAGGTGGGTGTGTGGGGTGTGTGAGTGAGTGAGGGTAAATATGGGAGTTTGTGTGTGTATTGTTGTGGATGGGTGTGTGACTGAGGATAAATATGTAAATTTGTGGCGTGTCATGAGTAAAATATATATTTATCAAATTATTAGAGGTGTACTTTTAGAAGTGGTTTGCCTTGAGATACATTAAGGTGTGTAAATAGAGGCACCCCTACAACCCATGTCCAACAACTATTGGAATTACCATTATACCCTTAATTACTAAAACCTACTATAATGACATGAAGATTCAAAATTATTCCAAATCTTTAATTCCTGATGCCCTACATGTGCTTCATGTGAAATTCCAGATTTGCTCTTTTTCTTCTTTCCATGATCTTCATCAAGTTCCTCAATGGATGTAGGTTCCATCAGGAAATAATCAACCAAAAAGGAAGCTAAGGTAAAATGACAAGTTCTAGGAACTAAATATTCATGATTGCAACCACACAATAGATGCTAAAAAAATTCATAACAATGCCTGAGGTGACTTATGAAAATTTTCATAACAATGCCCGCAGTGGCTTAGAAATACGACATATCAAATATCAAATCAAACCTGATAGAAGGCCAAGCATTGAAGCACGAATTTTTCCATGGAGTCCAGTTCCAAATCCAAAGCAGCATCATAATCCTTCACCTTTATCATAAAATGAAATTTAGTAAACCAAAGCAAAGAAGAATTGAGCATGATGCCCAGTAGTTTAAATGGGAAAATCAAGAAAAAGAATCCCTAATACCGCTTCTCTATATTCTCCAATAGCATGGAAGGAAGAAGCTCTTAAATATAAACACTCAATGTTTGAGCTTTCAAGCTTAACCCAACGGATAAATCCTTGATGGCATTCCTACAACTACTGGGCATATCCAACTTAAGGATTAGAGTTAGCTGAGCTAAGCTGTTCCAATGGTTTAGTATAGATTTCAGACAAAAAAAAATAGCATTTGAATTATTCATCAATTTCAGACTAAGATTTCTACCTGACATATACAATTAGTATGGCTTTTTAAACATTAATTCAATGTTGTCTTTTAGATCTAGATTTCCGAAATGGATTTGTGAGTTTTAGTTGTGACCAACTAAAAATTAATGTAAAATTTTATCATACACCAACCTTCTACACTGGGGGGGGATGAAAAACAATGAGAGAAGGTGGGAAGGATATATGCCGAGGAATGGAAAACTGCCTTCTTTCAGCTACTTTTCACAGAAAAATATAGTAAGCCTGATGTGAAGGTTATTCGCCCCTCTCTTATGTGTCTTCCTTCTACACAAAAACACCAAACTATCCCTCCCCAACTCCCACCCTCTTCTATTATATTACTTGCCAGTTGTCACTCTTCCCTCTTATGAAATGGATCGCAGTATGAGATATTAGAGTTAGTCCATTAGAGTATTTTAAAACAAATAAAGAACTACACAGGGACTGCTAAAACACAGTTCAGGAGGTAGGATTAGAGTTAGCTGAGCTAAGCTGTTCCAATGGTTTAGTATAGAGTTTAGATAAACGTGTAAAAAAAACATAAAATCACAGAGAAGTGAAAAAAGAAGAGGTGAAGGAAAAAGGACATGATTAGGCATTTGGATTATCTTTATTACCATTAATATGACAGGGAAGACTAGAAAGTAGAAACTAAAACATAGAAAAGTTAAATGAAATCAGTTTACATTTCTATATTAAGCAATAGTATTAATGCTCTCATTGATTATTACAGAGGGCAACAATAAAAGCAATAGGTTGTAATGTTACATGTAAATTTAAGTTCAGACCCAGTCTACCCCTCCTAACACCCAATAATTAGGGATGGGAATGGAATGAATGAAAAAATGAGATAAAGACACAAGGGAGACTTGTGCATAGGTGTTAAAACCTATCACCTACTTCACCCACTTAAACCTACTCCACTAAACCTAACCCACTACACCACTACCACCTCCACTTCACCTACTCCTTACCTACTACACACTCACCCTCTTCTATATATAGGAATCATGAATCATTGTAATAAAAAGAACATTATATCAATCAACAATACATAATTCATTCTCTCTATTTCTCTATACATCAAATTTTACATGGTATCAAAGCTATAGGTTAAGCTCTTGGTGTTCTTCGCCTTCCGGCGGGCGGCAACCTTGCCTTGACCGCCCGCCGGATTTCATTTCCCTATACAAATCATAACCCTCTCAAGGCTTGTGCAGCCCGTGGAGTGTACTGTTCCACTGTGATCACAGCTGTCACTGCTCAGAACACCATTGGAGTTCAGGGTGTGAACATTGTGCCCGAGGATTTTGTTGCAGAGCAATTAAAGTCCGTGCTGTTTGACATGAATGTTGATATTGTGAAAACAGGCATGCTTCCTTCCATTGGCATAGTCAAGGTTCTTCATCACTGTCTCAAGCAGTTCCCAGTTAGAGCTTTAGTCGTTGACCCTGTAATGGTATCTACAAGTGGAGATGTACTGGCTGGACCTTCCACACTTATGGAATCTTTAGTGGGTTTTGATGAGGGCAGAACAGCATTGACATCTGAAGAAGGTGGAGTGCTTGCAGTGGTCGAAGTTCTGGAAAGTGGGTCTCTTCAAAGCCGTGAGCACGCAGTGGATGTGTGAGGCTTCCTCACCAGAGTGTTTCTCTCCATTGTTACTTGGAATCCAAAACAAACCAATACTTTGCCTTTCTTTCTTTTTCTCTTCCCTTTTCCAACCTTCTCCACTCATTTATTTTATTATTATTTTGTACAAATCCAACCCATCCTTTTTCTTTTTCATTCTTTCCACACACTCATGTTCCCCACTCAACTTTTTTACTCCATCTTTTGAAAAACAACCAACACACCCGCCCACAACTTTAAATCTCCCATTTCTTTTTTAATTTTTTATTACTTTCACATTCACACACTTCTCTTCAATTTTCTTTTCTTTTATAAAAAAAAAAAAAAAAAAACTTTGGGCACTCAAAACGAGTACAAACATGCACAATTATCGAGTGCACAAACGATGACGTCTGAGTCTTAAGGTCGGTCAAAAATTAGGTGTCTACAGGGACACGACGGGGGCACGGCAGGGACATGTGTGTCCATATCGGAACAAGAATCGAACTCAAAACAGAAGAGAGAGAGAGAGAGAGGGGGGCTCGTCAGGCATACTTGGAAGCTCTTCGCTAGTGAGTCGTCGGTGGTCAGTGGTTGGTCTCTGATCGTCTTCTTCGTCGCTCTCAGTCTCTCTATCTCTTTTAGAGTCTCTCTCTCTCTCTTCTCTTTCGTCTATCTCTCCTCTTTCAATCGATCTCAATATCTCTCGTCTCTCGCTCTGTCTCGTCTCTCTCTACTCTCTTCTCTCTTGTCACCTCTCGTATCTTTGTCTTCTCTCTCAGCTATCTCATTTCTCTCTCTTTTTTGTTGATCAAATATTTATATTTATATTTATATATATATATATATATATTATATTTTAATTTATATATATTATATCTCTTCTCTTTATCTTCTTTCTTCTTTATTTATTTTATAATTAGATATTTATATATATTGTATATTTTAATTTAATTTTTTCTTTATATAATGTTTACAATATATAGAACATATGTTTATAATGTTTAAATGTAATGGTCCTTATATACACATTAAATTAATATTAGTTTTTATTTATTTTGATTGTTTGGTAATATAAAATTAATCTACATAGCAAATACGCAACATATATATTTAAAATAATAATAATAATTTGTCATGTCCCCCACCGTGTTCGTGTCCCCATTTTTTTGAAATCGCCGTGTCCCGTGTCCGTGTCTGTATCCGTGTTCATGCTTCATAGGCCTTCACTAAATGAACCCAATTTTGAAAGGCCCCCAATTTTTTATAAGAATAGTTGAGGCCCATATAATTTATTTAATTATTTTTCTATAGAAGATCCCACCCATTAAACAACAAGGCTTATGAATTGGAAAGAATGAACATATGTCATAATCATAGAAAGAATCAAAACAAATTTGGTCATGAAGAGACTCATGCCCAATAAAAAAAGTTACGAGTAAAGACCTATAATTGCTATTATTTCATTTATTTTTTATATATCCTTTACATCCCTCATTTACATCTTGTCACATTAAAAGCATGATTGTATTTTTGCCAAAAAAAACAATGCATTCATGTATTTGCATCATAAGTTGAAACATCAAATGACAATACACTCTCTTTCTTTCTCTCTCTCGAAGTTGAAACACCAACCTCCTTTCTCTCAACCTTGGAAGCTAAAATCTCTTTTTCTGATTGTGATATTTTGCATTTAGAACACAAACTCATTCTCTCTACATGCACATTTGCTCCAAGGCACATTGTCAAAATTTTATCGTCTTCCAAATATAATATTGAAGAAGCTATACCAAATTCAAAACTCATCTACATCTACCATCTTTGTTGCCAACAATGACTAGTTGGGTTTATCGTTTCATACTTCTGGATTACTCAAGCCTTATTATGATCAAACAGCCAAAAACTCTTAAGGTAAAACTAATGCATTGTATTTGCATCATGTTATCTAGGTTAGTCCATTAAAATATGGTTTAATCAAGTTCATGACCTTAGATAATTAAGTTTTGGGACTAATGAGCTTGACTTTAAAATTTAATAGATTTGGTTTTTGGACTTAATGAATTGGCTTGTTTCAAATTTAGTATGGAACAGTGCATTGTGCATTTGAATGTGAGGTTGTTCATTCGAACAAGCATGGTTTTGTAAGTTTGTCCAGTGCATTGCCTGTTTAAACACATAATTGTTTGAGTTTGAACGAGAACGTTTTGACTAATTTTTCGTATTGTCCAAGATCCACTGGGTTGCTGTTTGAATGTGTCTTTGAAAGTCTTTTGAGTGTTTTTGGTATGAAACCCTTGTGGTTCTTGTTTCCTTCTTCGTTTAGGTTTTCTTGTTACTTTATATTGGAGTCTTGACTTACTGTATTTGTTAGGGTTTTTGTTAGGGTTTCCACAAGAATTAGAGCACAAGATTTCGTGACAGAGTTTCATAGAGTTCTTGTATCTTCTTTTCTATTCTCAAGAGAGGTTGGTTAGGTCTTTTTGTGAGCTTGATTGTTGGTTTAGGTCCTTTGGTAACTCACTCCATCCAGTGTCTTCACCAAGGTTCTGACACGACCATACAGTGTCTCTTATCCTCTTTTATTTTTATGTATTTTCTTGTTTTGTTACTCTCTCCAAACTCAAGTTGGTTAGTTCCTATCCCCCTTGAGTTTGCGGGGGGCTGTTAAAATCCACCTACTACACACCTACCACTACCACCTACTACACACTCACCTACTTCACCTACTCTCCACCTACTCCTCACCTACTCCTCACCTACTACACACTCACCCTCTTCTATATATAGGAATCATGAATCATTGTAATAGATATCAAAATAACAACAAATATCAATCAATAATACAATCATTTATCTTTATACATTAAATTTCTACAGCCTGTTTCTCATGAAACCAAATACAACACAGCATGTTCCAAAAGTTCAAGGGCACATTCTGCATAATTAGAAAAACCTACTATCGAATTGTTTCAACATCAAATTTATAGTTGTTGATAATAAAATGACTATAAATCCAATGATGGGAGCCTATTGAACCCATAATAGAAATGCCCACCACTATCAACATCACCCACACTCAAATACATGACACAGCCCATTACATTATTGATGCTGATTAATTACAAAGGCCGTTTGATGCTATGTTAACTAGAACTTGGATCGTTCTGGTACAAGGAACGAGAACGGGAACGTGGTACGCTACATGCTCTAAAATGTGGTACGATAGGAGTACACATATATATTACACTTACGAATTTAAAGTACTTCTAGAGCAATTTTCTTTTAACAATTAAGTATCCAATTAAAAAAATTTCTTCTTCTTTCGTGTAGCAAATCATTTCTATGAAAATCATGACCCATTTTTTATTTTCTGTCTTGTCAAAACTTAACTCACCTTAGATTTTAGTTTATACATTTGATTTTTTTTTCTCCCAAGTTAACATTTAAGGAAATATATTGGAAAAAAAATTTGGGGATTGCTTTGGATCACTAAATTTACCGTTTTGGAACGAAAGTGTACCATGCTTTCGAACGTGCGTTCCAATACGTTATTCGCTAGGGTATTAGCGTTTTCTGGTAACATTGGTTTGATGTCTTTACTAATTGCTGAAAACAACTTGTAGTGGTGTCTCCATTACAAGTGTTTGATAGCACAGGCTTAGATGCCACTTCAAAAAATAATTACCAGCGTGTGTTTGAAGTTACCAGTGAGACCAAAATGACTACGGTTGGAGCTGTAATTAAAGCTATAGTTACCTTGAACTTACCTGAAAATCATGACTTCACATAGAACAAAAACTAGAAGAAAAAACTCGAGCCAGGATTATGGCTGCTTGAGTTGAGTTGGTCAGTTAGCACCAAAATAAGAGTATTATCAACTTCACTTTTTCATTATTACCACACAACAGGGCACATTAATCACACAATGTGAATATTGTAAGTCAATTACACCGAGTATTTACTTATGAATACCTGCGTTAAATGAGCCCATGCCTCAAGGAAACTTGGATCAAGTTGAATTGATTTCATATGTGCCTCCTCAGCCCTTCTGTATTCACCAATTGAAGATAATGCCAAACCCTGTAAAAGTCAAAACCTGCTCCATCAATATTTTTAACATGGAAAAGTACCTGAACTTTCTCAAGCTGATTGTATTAGACCCTAGATCAATAAATTTTAGGAAACATAGAATTACCAAATATGTGTACGCTGATTTGTTATCCTTATCAAGCTTCACACATGCAGACAGGTCTTCAATAGCAGCATCAAAATCCTTAAACTTGAAATTAACAATCCCTGTATTCATTCCAATCCTCGTAATTACTAGTATGCCATGGAACTCTTATTACCTTCATGCATATTATGCACAAGAATGCCATCCTTTTGCTCTTACGTAATGTCTACATTAGTAACATTCCATATTCACAAAACTAAATGACAAGAATTAGTCAAGTTATTATTGATAATCTCTAGGTGATAACAAAATAGTTCTATCACAAAATCATACTATCATTTTTGGTATAGAGATAATAAATAAAAAAATCTACTTTCTACTTTATCCAAAATGATCAATCTGCCATCTTATCCACTCATACTTCAAATGAACATCACCTGCAATTGTATTTAGAATACTTGAGCATGAAAAACTGAAGGAAGAAGCAGACAATCAATCATCAATAGCAAACAAGAATTTCCAATCTAATCCTCATATTCAAATACAGAAGGGTACTTATACCAGAAAGAAAAAGTTCTCTGAAAAATTGAAGAGCTGAGTTTTAGCAAGTTACCCCTTTCATGTAATATATCTGCTGAGTTTGGCTCAAATTCTAATGCCTTGGTCAAGTCTGCAATAGCCTGGTACCAATAGGTAATTAAACATGCCACAACAAGCAAGGGAGATATCAAGCACTTGCATTAATGATAAAGATCAATTCAATAAATAAATAAATAAAAGTACAATTTCAAAAACACTTCAATCATTTTTCTAGTCTAAATGTAGAGGAAGACTGGACGATCATTCTAGTCTAATTAGATGGATTAAGTTCAGGACCAGAAATGCAAATGCTAACCATATCTTGCTCCTAACATATCATGCATCTATGAGAGGGTCAGCATGTAAGTGAATATATAAATGAATTGGGGGATTTTGCAGAGACACAAATTCAAATCTGAAGAGAGAGAGAGAGAGAGAGAGTTTCATACACACAAAACCAGACAAAGACCTATAAAGTAAAAAAGAAAAAGAAATAACACATAGCAGTAATTACTATTTCTCTTTATAAAAAATGACCCCTCGCAATACATTGTGGTTTATTAGCATTCACCGACAAAGAACTACAACCAAGTCAAATACGCACTTCATATACAAACACCACACTTCATTTAGCAGATGCTCTTACAAGCAAGGTTTTAAAAAACGGCCGCAACTGTTACGTAACGCCGTTACATAACGGTTTTGGTGGTTACCGCCACCGGTTACGGCCGCTTTTGCAGTGTGATTGAGATTCACAGGTGTGTCGGTCGTAGCGGCTGCCGTAACGGTCGTAACGGTGTCGTAACAGCCGTAACGACCTGTTACGCACCGTTACGTAACGATTCCAAACTGTTTCTTTCGAAAAAACATAAAAAAATAGCTGAAAATGGGGGAAAAGAGATAAAAAGAAGAGGAAAGATAAAGAGAGAAAATGAAGGAGCAAGAGATAAAGAGAGAGAAGAGAGAAGATGAAGAACGTGTTATTGATTTGTTGAAGTTGTAAGACCTATGCTATTCTATTCAGCTGCTATCACTCAACCATTTTGTTTGTGTGTATCTATCTATATATTGTTTGATAATAATAATAATAATAATAATAAGTGTGGTCATTATCTATTTGGCTTGGTTAAAATATGTATATGTATATATATATATATATTTAGGCTCTTATTTATTCTTACTTTTGTCATTGTTTATCTTATATATAATAGTTAGTGATTGATTTTTTTTGTATAATATAAAGTCATTAATTATTAAAATAAAATGTAAAAAACTCAGTTTATAGTGATTTAAAAATATGAAATATATTGGATCATACTTAAAAATTTACAAAAATTAATCAATATTTATTTTAAACCCAATAAATATGATCATGGAAAAAAAATATGCGTACCGGTAAGTTTTTTTCAAATTGTGCGAAAAATAAAAACATTCACGGTTCCGGTTACCGCAACCGTTACGCTAAGGCCTTTACACAGCGCCACCGCAACCGGGCCACTGCCACCGTTACGGCGACCGCAACCGCTTTTCAGAACCTTGCACGTCATATAATTGTAGATATTATTTCTAAATTGTGCGAAAAATAAAAAAATTCACGGTTCCGGTTACTGCAACCGTTACGTTACAGCCTTTACACTCCGCATCCGCAACCGCAACCGCAACCGCGCCACCGCTACCGTTATGGCGACCACAACCGCTTTTCAGAACCTTACTTACAAGGGTGTTTGCAATGCTTGCTATGTAGGATTTACTGTAAGTTGGGTAATATAGATTTTTTGGTTACCCTAACTCATGGGGGAGTACTAAGAGGGATATTTTCTTTCACCATTCTAGAAGATGCTTGGAAGTTGCTTGAATTTTTCATCCACAGGGGTGTTTCTTTGTACGAAAAAAGATTATTCCTAAGGATATTCAAATCATGGTAAGTAAACTTACGCATCATTACTTGCCACCATTTTCTCTCTTTCCTTTTTGTTCTATCATGTTTCTACCACTTTGACTTGAATATGAAAGGAAGATTATTGTCAGTATCAATATACAAGTTTTTGTTTTTATTTAAAAAAGGAAAAGGAAAGAGAAAGTTGCAGTTGTAACCCCATCCAAGGTGAGGTGTACATAAAATAAAATTCTTGAGAAGGCAGTCCAAGGCAAGTGTCATGTTCAAGCTTGCATTACTGTCAAAATGCCTAGAATTGGAAAACTTCCTAGGTGACTAGGCTCGCTATAGAATTTCTCAACTGAAAAGACCAAGTCAGGTAAGTTAAAAAATGACATTAAGAAAAGATTTCAAGCTTCTGCACAAGTATTAAACTCCGTCCAGTTGGCAGTCTTTATTTGTCAAAGGGCAGAAGTTCATGAAGTACAAAGATTAGAACTAAAACCTACGTGAATACAAGATTTTAAAATTAGATTTCACAAGGAGCTTCAATTGTTTTGAAAGTAAAATTGATTTCAGGAACTTCATGGAGATTCACAAATTTTAGGCATGTAGAAAAAATATCAAGGACAAATTACCATGTGTTGTACATCCCACAATCATGGGGGAAAAAGTAGAATAAAGAAATAGGCTTGGAAGCTCTCACCTGAACAGATTCCCCCAAGGCAGCGCGAGCCTGCCCCCTCCGTTTCCATGCCTCCCCTGCTAATGGATTTGATTGAATAGCCTAATACATAAACAACAGAAACCAATTTGTAAGATAATATAAACGGAAGCAATGACAATACGGACTAAGTATTTAGCATGTGCATTCATTTTGAAGCAGAAGCAGTAAATACCCTCGTGAAATCAGCAATTGCAGCATTGAGTTCCCGTTGGAATGCATACGCTGTTCCCCTTCCTATTAGTGCCTCCGGATAAGTAGGATCCACATTTAGTATCTGTGTATAAAGTATTGTAAAAGACAGTTCTATAAAACCTGATGAATTAACAATGTTACTGTTGACTAGGTTTACCATTCCACATATCTCCTCACCCCCCTTCCCCAACCAAAAAATGAAAAATTTTAAAAAAGAAATAAGAAGAAGAGAAGGAAGTAATATATTGCAATGAAATAGAAGACTATGAGTATAACAATTACGGGTAGAACTGTAACCTGGTCAAAGATGGATACAGCATGAGCATATTTCCCTTCATTCACCTACAAATGAACTAGATTATATTACCAAAGAGAGTAATTGCCTCAAACATGTGCAATACAATATACATAGAAACTTCAATTACTATATAAAGTCGATAACACAAAAGAAGACTGTCATTCTCTCAAACAAAGTGAAAACAAAATTCCATTTTTATCAGATTTTAATAGGCACAAATAAATGTGCAAATGGGTACACTACAAAAAAATTAGAATTTTTATAGAGAAAACGCTTCCTGCACGTAAAGTTAAAGATTGCTGTAACTTGGGCATGATGAGAGGTCAATTTTTCCTTAAAACTTCATCCATATGCAATAAAAAATTATGTCAACATGACAAATCCACATAGGTATTGATGAGACCTTCTGACTTTAGTCTCAAAATGAAGCTCATATACTCAATAAGAAACTACACCAAAATGACATGGCCACATAGGTATCTAAGATGAGACCTCTGGACTTTAAAGGATACCAATGAAACCCATATTTGCCAATGAATTGGTCAATAATTTAGTGAATCAATTGATTTATCAATAAATAAATAAATTAGTGAATCAATTGCAACAGAAAGCAAGTGCTCTTTAACCAAGAAGGTGATACAATAGGATGGGTATGAACCAAGAGTTTAGAATCTAGTTACGTGACTTATCAAAATAAAATAATAATACAAAACCGAAGTCTGCTATCAATCTGACACATAACGCCAGCCAATCTTGTCCTTAAAATATTATAGACTCAATAATTGATTATTCCACCATAACACAGCACACAAGTATACATGAACTCACATCAGTAATGTATGGCAAACAACTATTAAACTGAGTGGCGAGTACTATATATGATTAAAAAATTTCATAGTGCTGGTAAGGGTTTAATAGCCTTGGAGCTGATACATGAAGGATGAGCATTTGGAGCAGGTGGGAGCAAGGCAGCTTGAGAAAGAGCGTAGGAAATTGGAAAGAGACATGAGCAACAGTCTTACCACTCCAATTGTTCTGTGCCTTGGAAAAATTGAGTCATTTATGCATCTGCTTACACCAAGGGCTGTGAAGGACAACTAAAGACTAGATGAACCAAGCCAATCAAGCACAGTAAGGGCCTCCAGTTTAAAGAGCATGTGACGCTGGTCTCACAAGCTAGACTAACACAAAGATATCAACACTCAACAACCAATTCATTGATACAGCAAGGAGTATGCTACATACAATATGCAGCCACAGACATGGAATCACCCTCCCTTTTAATTTAGCCAGGACGCATATTGCCCCCATCAAGCAAGACGAGTGAGATGGACCAAAACAGCTAGGCCCAACTCCATATTCTAGAGAAGAACGTCAAGACTCCATGTAGACATTGATGTGACGCCTCAACCACACCATCAACAAGTACCAAGCTCAATGAGCTGAATCCTACTCTTAACCAACCATGCATCCAGAGGCAGGACCACACACATAAACACCTTTCAGATTGCATGAATGCCATGTCAACAAGAAGGCACATGACCTCAGGAACCACCATCAAATGGTGTTGCAGAATTGTCACTTTAGAAGCCACCAAAGAGTTAGGGCTTAGTTAGACCAAGGCTATAGATGAGACCACAGGAGAAGATGGTAACCAACATGGCAGAACCAAAAGGGGCCACAATAAATCTGAAGCTTTAACTAGCAGATGTTGGAAACAAGACCACACATATTAGTCAAGATCACCAACAATTAGTAACATTTTTATTGTGATACTTGTATTACAGTGGAATTTCATTAAATTAATATTATTTTATTTGCCTTTTATGCTTGTTTAATTAGTCAATATTTATACGACTAAGTGACTAACTAATTCAATGAAAAACATACATTACATCTTACAAGCGAACTAATGGAGAAAAACGTCTTCAGCGGAACTGCATGGCTTCACCACCATCAATATCTTCATTGCCTAAGGTTTGTCTGGGGTCAACATAGGGACAAAAAAGTAGATGACAGAAACTCCTAAGATGCACATGGCCAATTTCATATACAAACTTCTCAGAGAAGATTCAATATCGACATATAAAAACAATCAAAGTTAACAATAAAAGCTTACTAACTGCTAAAGTAAATACAAGAATGCACAGCTTATACAGACATAATTTTGGGTAACGAAATACTAAGAAAATAAAAAGAAACATACCTGTGCAATTCCCCTTGATAATCGGAAATCAACACTTATTGACTTGGTCTTTGAAATCCTGGTAACACAAAACTTTTTACACTTCTTGGCTTCATCACTTAATTCATTGCTTCCGTCAGATTTACCACTTGAGTTAGTGAAGATCTCAAATAAATCATTTGATTCGCCGCGAATCACAGATGATTTACTGCATCCATCACTTAACTCTTCACATAATTCAGAGTCATCTCGCCGTGTATTGTGAATGTCATGTGTTCCATTTAGATGGGTAGTATAGGTTCCATTTGGATGGGTACTATCGGTTCCATTTGGTTGGCCACTACAGGTTCCATTTGATTGGTCATCAAACTTTATGTTCCTAATAATTTTATCGCTTGATTCGTTGTGTATGTCAAATCTATGATTTGGTTCACTGTGGATCTCAGATGTATTGCTCAATTCGCTTCGAAGTTCAAAATCACAGCTTAACTTATTGTGATCATTATAGGTTTCACTAGATTTGCTTGAATCACATAATCCAGCTTCGGATGCATGCAAAGAAGACTCAGATAAGTCCATATCATGGTTCTCACAAGAAATACTTCTATTTTGTTTCGCAATGGTCAGAAGCTCTTCCAGCTCAAGCAACTGCTTCAAATCTGCAGACTGATGAAGAGCATATTCATAGCCTTGCTCCCAAACAAGAAGAGCATCCTCTTTCCTTCCAAGAGCAGAAAAAGCACGACCTAGATGAGAAAGATTGCAAGACAAAGTTGATGAAACAATGCAGGAGCCTCAAACAAAAAATCAAATGGAAATAAATGGAAGTTTACACTACAAGATACCATAGAAAGGATCAATAAGAACAACAAAAACTTATATTTAAATTGATCATGAAAGGAAGATTCTTGTAAGTTACACAAAGATCTGAGGTACAACTCTCATCCTTTAGAGGTTATAATTTTTTGGTTTAAGCAATCGATGTTTGTGTACCGATGCCATTCCCTCCTTTTCACTTCCTTATTGAGTGATACCCATCCTATGTTGCCCAGAACATGGATCATTCCGGCATGTAGAATGGGAACAGGAACATGGTACGCCACATGCTCTAATATATGATACAATAGGGGTAGACTTGTATGGATTACACTTATAAAAATGAATTTAACGTACTTCTAGAGTAATTTTCTTTCACTATTAGTCATCCAAATTTTTCTCCCCAAATTAATCATGTAATAAAACATTTATATGAGCATTATGACCCTTTTTTTATGTTGTCATGTCAAAATTTAACTCACCTTGTATTTCAGTTCATTATATTTTATTTTTTATCCTCTTAAGAAAACATTATGAAAAAAACTTTCAAGATAACTTCAAATTCGGATCACTAAATTTATTGTTTTAGAACAAAAGTGCACTATGTTTCGGAATGTACGTTTCAAAACACAATTCGATAGGGCATTGGCATTTTCTAGTAACACAATACCCATATTTGCGTCTCCAAAAATTGACATCCGATAAGATGCATTCCAAATTCAGTTATTCTCCTAAAAGCACATGAAATACTATGAAGTGACATTTGGATTGATGAATATGAAATGAAAATTGCTGGATATCAGCATTTTAAAATTGGAGTTTCAAGTCGGACATGTGTTACAAGAAAATGCTAATACCCTAGTGAATTATGTTTCGGAAGCATATTCTGAAACATAGTACACTTAGTTTCAAAATGGTAAATTTAATGATCAAAAGTGATCCTAAAGTAAATTCCAATATATTTCCTTAAATGTTTCCTTAAGAGAAAGAAAAAAAAAAAATCAAATATAATCAATGAAAATTTAAGGTGAGTTAAGTTTTGACATGACAAAACATAAAAAATGGATCATATAATGCATATGGAAATGTTTTGCTATATGATTACTTTGGGAAACAATTTACATTTTATTTGATGCCTAATATTCGAAAGAAAATTACTTTAGTGTAATCTATATAAGTCTACCCATATCGTACCACATATTAAAGCATGTGATGTACCATGTTCAATTTCCCATTCCCATTTTACGTACCAGAACAATTTACGTTCTAGGATCCACAAATGGAAAAGAAAGTCTTATTTTGGTGAATTTGAATAAACAAGGTAAAGGGAGTAATTTGAAAATCTGCCTCATGAAGGATTCTAGTGACAAAATCTAGTTGAATATGTCTCTCCTACATCTACTCTATCGTCCCCCAACCTAACTCCAATTATCCTACATATTTGTGAATTTCAACCCCAAATTTCCTCCTTCCAAATCCAACAAAAAATCATTTTAAAATCCAATTGTATATATCATCAATTAAAATATAGATTTATACCTTTGAAATGGCAGGGATAAATATTTTCACTTTGGTAATGTAACAAGAAAGATGCTATCAACCCCACTTATGTACCCCGAATTTATCTCGAATGAGAGTTGTGTGGTTGAGATTGAATTTGTGTAGTGTGGAGTCCATGTGTAAAATAAATCTGAACCACAAAATGACAATTATGGATAATTTCTGGGTATTTATGTCTGGGTTTGTAGTATTGCTGATATAACAAAGCCAATAGACTACTGCAACATGGAGACATCAACTTCAAATTTAGTGTTTTGCATATATAGCACACCAAATTATCCATGAGCAAGTATTCAGTCTTGCAACTTAAGGCATGATCACTTAAAGTCATCCCATAAACCATCCATTGTTAGCAGGGTTTTACATCTATAAAGGGCATCTCCATTGGCCATATTAAGGACATGTATTAGTCAAAAAATTGTCAATTAGCACATGTTTCTTACTTTTGGGAGCCCGAAAGCATAGGTTATCTCACATGCTAACTTAGCACATATTAAGAGGTTTGTTAACTATGGCCCACAAAGCATGCTTTAGCTAGTCACAGTGAAACTAATTAATCAAAATAGAAAAAAAATCAACTTCACTCTTTTATGGTATGGTCCTGGCACACTTCACCCCCTCACATTTTAAAAATTGCCAAAAGAATCCTCAAATGGTTTTGGACTAAAGCATACCATTAGCTTTGTTAACGAAAATTTAAAAATTTTAAAAAAAAAAAAATTATACCCCCCTCACTGTAACAATCTTCCTCTCTCTAGACCGAAATTACAACCCCCACCGCCACCACTTTTATACCATTCTCTGTTAAAGTACACAATGCATGTCAGGTTTTGGAGATAAAATCTTTGGTGATCCTGTTTTAGGAGAATCCAGCAGAGAGAAGAGTGGGAGAACGCCTGTGTTTTGGCCATATGTTAAGCCGGCCCAACCTCATCATCCTCGCTCATTCCAAAGCTGCTAAGAGATACTAATTTATGAGGTGGCTGGGGAGACAAGGGTTATGGAGGAGGGAAGAGGGGGTGGCAACAGGTGTTAGGATCAGGGTTTTCATATTCGCTTGGGGATGAAGATGAAGATAAAGGCACATTTGTCCTTTTAAATTGTATTTTGACTTTAACTTTCTTTTCCATGGAAATTCTCAAATTAGATGCATTTGGTACAATTCTCATCAATTTGTACATAATTAATAATGGTAGGAAGGTAAAGTGCAAAATGGCCAAAATTATGAGAGGATTCTTTGGTTATTTTTAAATGCAAGGGATGAAGTCCTTTGGAACTATGCCACAAGGGACAAAATGATTTTCCTTATAAAAATAGTGGCAGTTGCCTACATCTTCCAAAAAAGTGTTGAACCCACAATGCAAAAGAAGAAGAAGGCTATAGTGCAACAAAAGGACAGGAATCACAATTGAACTAAGGAGGAAGGCAAGTCACTATGTAAAGAGAAGTTGCTCTTTCTATTTCATTCTCTTTTGGAACCCTCCACATACATGTTGAGCCCTCCACATTTGAACTTTAAAAACTCCTACTTGAGCCCCTCGCCTTTTTCTTTCAAAAACACTTTATTAGGTGCCTTCACATTAAGCAATTACATGTTGAATTGCAAATTGGTTGTTTTAAGACTACTAGGTCTGCATTATTTACAGTTCCTTTTTTCTTTATTTTTGTGGGAAAGGCACCATATGTATAATATCAGGAACATTTCAACTCAATGAATTGGTAGATCCAATTGAAAGTGTTCATAAAAAAACATAAATTTTTGCAGTGAGATTTACTGTAACTGACTTATAAAGACGTAAGGAAAGACAGTAGCAGATTTTGGACAATCATGTAGATACCAAGCAAAGATAGAAGGGAATGTATGATTTGAGCACATCTGCAATCGTTAAGTGGGGGACGATGAGTTTGTCAGGTGGGGAGTGGGTTTCTGCTCACATAACATGCTAATGCACTACATTTTAACATCTCCAATGGAGATGCTCTAAGTGCTCTACATGATTTCAGATTAAAATCCTTACAAAAGTAGGCAGCAAAAAGTTATATAAGTGCTTGTGCTGCAAATATAATTAGAAACCCTAGAGCATTTCAACAAAAGCTCAATGTAACACAAGTGGAGAAAGTGGAAGCGTGGACATGGAATTTCTATTGAAATTCTGATAAATTGAGCTATTGAATAGTTATCTCTTCCCATCTGTTTGACATGCTCCAGTAACTGCGATTACTAAGCTTCATTTACTGAAAGTATTTCCAGCACATTACAAGGTAGTTCATACATCTTCCTTGCGTCTTGTTAGTTAGCAAAACATCGTAAAATGAATGCAAGATAAAAATTTAATTTGAATGTGTTTCTTCGAAGCTGAAAAACAGATAATTAGTTTCTTCGAAGCAGATAATTAGTAGCAAACCAATGTGAAAGTACAATCACACACTTGAAAATTTTCTTACATGGTTTGAAATTAAATTTCATAATCCAATTTCCAGCAAGACTAAATTTCAGGCGATGGAATACAATTGACGAAATTTTTTTAAAATATATACATATAATATAACACGAAATTTGAATATCTAACTAAAAAACCTTTCAGAATGTAAGCTTGAAGATTCGTGGGGTCGAGCAGTAGCGCCTTATCGCAGTCCTTGATCACGTGCTTGTGGAGCTCCAATTGACTATAGCAAAAGGCTCGATTACTGAAAGTCGCAACAGAGACAGTTACAGAACAATCGATCAACGAAAGCACCATACAAGGATATACTATTAAACATTGAATGAAAAGATAAATAAGAAACAATCTCGAATTTGAGTTAAGAACCAGATGTCTTGAATGGTGCAGGACTGCGAGAGGAGAGAATCGAGAACGCGGATTGCCTTGGACCAGTCTCGAGAGCAGCAGAGCTTCGCGAGTTGGACTCTGTCCGAGATTGCCGCCGACGCCATTGACACAGGCAATAGATCGAAACCACTTCGTATCTATCTCTATCTCTATCTTCTTCGCCACAGTTGTGATTTTCCTGGTTGAGATTTTAGAGAGAGAAACGGCAGAGGAGAGAGAAGCGTTGGGAGAATCGAGCGATGGTCATGTCTCTCCGGAGATGGAGAGGCTAAAGGGCTCCCTGATCTTTTTACACGTTTCGCTTTCGTCACTGCAAGGTGGCCCTCGCTCGCGGAGCCCCGTGTTCACGTTTACTAGCCTGATTGTGTACTTTTGTGAGCTATACCACCGTTCACGGCACGGTAGTATTACTGAAGGGTCACCGCTGTCGCAAAGGCACAGCAGTGACTGTTGTACTTTATTTTGTAATACATTATGATATTATTTTTATAATCTGAACCGTTGATTTTGTAGGGTTTATTAAGTACTTCAAGCCTACCAAAAATCATATTAATCGGATACCAATAACTATATGATTGATAACCAAAAAAACAAACAAGAAGTTTTTCTTTTGAAAAATAGTATAAAAATATGCAATTCGATCATATAGTTGTTGATATCCGATTAATATGATTTTTGATAGGCTTAAAGTACTCAACAAATCCTACAAAATGAACGGTTCAGATCATAAAAATAAGCTCATAATACATCATAAAATAAAGCACAACAGTCACTACTGTGCATTTGCCACAGCAGTGACTCCAAGTCCTAGTATTACATACGGCTAATGTTGGAGAATTTAAATATTTCGTTAAAAGTGTTATTAAGGTGTGGTTTGGTAATATTTATGTTTTTTATTTTTTGTTTATATATATAAAAATTTTAAAAATTTAAATAAAAAATTATTTGATAAAGTTTTTGATTTATAAATCAATGGTCTCAGTTTATAAATTGGGCCAAAAAATGAAAACACAAAAAATGTGTTTCCATTACAAGTTTTGAGTTTTGAGTTTTTTTTTTTTACCACCCAACACTAGTCACCACCCGCCATCATTTTTCACCATCATCTTTCGCCGCCACCACCACCCGCCTCCACCACCACTAGCAGATTTTGGACAATCATGTAGATACCAAGCAAAGATAGAAGGGAATGTATGATTTGAGCACATCTGCAATCGTTAAGTGGGGGACGATGAGTTTGTCAGGTGGGGAGTGGGTTTCTGCTCACATAACATGCTAATGCACTACATTTTAACATCTCCAATGGAGATGCTCTAAGTGCTCTACATGATTTCAGATTAAAATCCTTACAAAAGTAGGCAGCAAAAAGTTATATAAGTGCTTGTGCTGCAAATATAATTAGAAACCCTAGAGCATTTCAACAAAAGCTCAATGTAACACGAGTGGAGATAAGTGGAAGCGTGGACATGGAATTTCTATAACCCCAAATTTCCTCCTTCCAAATCCAACAAAAAATCATTTTAAAATCCAATTGTATATATCATCAATTAAAATATAGATTTATACCTTTGAAATGGCAGGGATAAATATTTTCACTTTGGTAATGTAACAAGAAAGATGCTATCAACCCCAGTCACCCACCCACCACCACCACCACCCGCCACCACCACTTGCCATCCGCCACCCACCTGCCACCGCCACCCACCTGCAACCACCACCCGCCACCACTACCACCACCACCCACTCGCTACCACCCACCACCCGCCACAGTCACCCACTCGCCACCACCACCCATCCGCCACCACCCACTACCACCAGCTACCCACCACCCACTGTCACCATTTTCCACCACCGTCTTCCGCCGTCACTTGTCACTTGCCATTTTTCGCTCTTTTTTTATATTTTTAAATTTTTTTAAACATTTTGTCAATTATTACCAAACGCGTTTGTAGTTTATGTTTTTTTAAAAATAAATAAAAATTAAACAAAAATCAGTTTATAAAATTTTTATAAATATAAACTGAAAACGTAAACGTTACCAAACACACCCTAAATGTTTCGTATATGTGAGACTCGCATTATGTGAAGCTCACATCAGACATTTGTTAAAATTTTTGATAGAATTTTTGGAGTCTTTAATATTTTTGATCAATTAATATATTAATTAAGGATTGTTTGGGGTGTCTTAAATAAGTATATTTTTTTATCTTTTTAGACTAAAAAATTGAGGAAAAAAATATGGATATTTGAGTTAATTTTTTGACTTTTTATGAAAAATTTGTATAAATTAGTGTGTAGGGGAAAATTAGGATTGGGAGTTGTGCAGCTGTAATTTTTGACTTTTGGTGAATAGTGATAACTTTTTAACTTTTTGAGTAACTTTTTAACTTTTTGACTTTTTTGCAACTTGCCAAACTTAGCCTAAATATGGGTTGGGTTTGAAGTGATGTGTTAGAGAGGTAATGTAACTTAAATAAGATGATGTGACTTAAATAGGCTAGTGACTTTTTGACTTTTTTAAACATGTCAAACCAACCCTTAGTGTGCTAACACTAGTCATAATATTACTACTGACCCCACTTATTAATCACATTACAAATTTTAAAAACCTCTTAAATTATGTTATATCATCAATTGATACATATAACATTATTCTTCGCCAGCAGAGACATGCGAAGTGGTTAATGCTTCTCAACAATCCAATCACATATTAGCCCCGTTTGGTAAAGTTGTGGAAAAATGATTATAGATTATAACTTAACAAATTATAACTTATAGCTGTGAACATAAGCTGTTAATCTGTTTGGTGCAGTTATGAGATTATGGATTTAAGCAGCAGAGTAGTGTTTGGTAGATAAACTGTAAAATAACTATTTTTTATATAATTGTCATTTTTACCCTTTTATGATCAATTAATACTAAAATTATTAATTAGTATCAATTAATGGCTTAATTAGTCTCAATTAATACTAAACTTATTAATTAGTATCAATTAATATTAATAATTTTTTTCCCTTGTTTCTTTTATTTTTCTTTTCTTTTTTTTATTATTTTATTTAATTTTCTTTAGTTTATAGTTTCTTTCAGTTAACATAATTAGTATCAATTTATATAAAAATTGATTCATTTGATAAACATGTAATGGAAGTGTTATTGTAACAATATTTTTCCATTATAAATTAAATAGTATCAATTAATTTCTTAATTAGTATCAATTAATACTAAAATTATTAATTAATATCAATTAATGGCTTAATTAGTCTCAATTAATACTAAAATTATTAATTAGTATCAATTAATATTAATAATTTTTTTCCCATGTTTCTTTTATTTTTCTTTTCTTTTTTTATTATTTTATTTAATTTTCTTTAGTTTATAGTTTCTTTCAGTTAACATAATTAGTATCAATTTATATAAAAATTGATTCATTTGATAAACATGTAATGGAAGTGTTATTGTAACAATATTTTTCCATTATAAATTAAATAGTATCAATTAATTTCTTAATTAGTATCAATTAATACTAAAATTATTAATTAATATTGAAATTTTCAAATTATATTCATTTTAGTTTATAAATACATGAATATTAATTGATATTTTTTTAATTTATTAAAAATTGTTACAAATACCAATTAATATTTTTTTAATTTATGGTTACAAAATATACCAATTTATTAATATTTTATGATTTAATTTATTATGAATTAATGGCTTAATTAGTACCAATTAATACAAAAATTATTAATTAGTATAAATTAATATAAAATTTATTTCATTAATGGCTTAGTAAAAAAAAACAATTTTTAGTATTAATTAATATAAAATTTATTATTGTTATTATTATTTTTGGAGATGAGGTAGGGTTCGAAGGAGTAACGGGAGGTTAGGGTTTTAGAGGAGAGACCGTGGGTGAGGTGAGAGAGGACCATGGCGTCGGCATAGTCAGAGGGGAGAGAGAGGTTGGATTAGGCGATGTAGGGTTTGAGTTTGTCGACGACGGTGGTGAAGACGGGGTAGGAGAGGCCATAGGAAGATTGCCATTGGGCGTTGTGGAGAGGGGCTTCCATGGCCCAGATCTACCGGAGATCGCCATTGGGCATCGCGGAGAGGGGCTTCCATGGCCCAGATCTGTCGGAAATCGTCGCGAACCCGAGATCGACTAGCATCATGGATGTAGTGCAGAGAGAGTGAGAGCAAGGGAGAGAGAGAGATCTTTGTTTCATTGCCGGAAATCGCCAGATAGCTTCATCAAAGAGACAAAAATGAGAGTTATTTGATTTATATAGATGGTACACTTGTAATTACTTGAAATTGTGAGGGGCATTTAAGTCATTTTGCCCCTCAAATTATAGTTGTCCGGTTAAGCTGTTTTGGGAAGCACCTCCTCCCCTACTCAACCAAAAAGCTCAATTTTCACTTATAGAAAGCTATAATCTACCCCCATAAGGTACACCAAGCACTCCAAAATCACTTATTTTAAGTTATAAAGTGGATTTAAGTTGAAAAAAAGCTATACCAAACAGCCCCATTTACTAACTCAGTTGGCTGAGCATATCTTTTTGTTGGCTGTGGATGTTTTATCCCATTTCAGAAGTTTTTCTTTATTTATTTATTTATTAGAGATGATAAACCAATCAAATAATTTGAATTTGATTCATGTTTAGTTTGTTAAAAATTCGTTCAAGTTTAGTTCGTTAAATAAATAAATCAAATTTAAAAACATTTTAGAGTCGGTTAAGGTTTTCAAAGTAAATTTGAATAATTAATTACTTGTTCGGTTTGATTTAATAAGCTTAAAATTATATAAAATATCAAACTACTCAAACTCAGCTCGATAAAAAGTTCCTTTGAGATCGGATCAAAAATTTAACGAATTAAACTTAAACAAATTTTAAAACTCGTTAAAATTATCAAACCAGACTTAAACAATTAATTATTCAGCTCGTTCAATTTGTTTATCACCTCTAATTTTGATTTCCATGTGCTCAACAAAAACAAAATTCCTTAAGCTAATAAAATGATTTTTGCTTGCACTCTTAATGTGCCCTAATATAATAATTGGACTTAAAAATAAATATCAAAGATTCATAATTTAAATTTTACAATTTATGTACAATAATATAGTAAGGGCATTCAGCGTTACTTGATTAGGTTGTGACAAATTAAAAGTTAATATTTAATATGCAATATTTTTTGTCATTGTGAGTAGAGTTATGTTAGGGATCCCAAATAAATTACCAAATTTTTTACCAAGCCTCTCACATGCGTGTGGGACCCATACTTGTGATTTGTGTGGGTCCCACACCCATATAAGAGGTTTGATAAAAAATTTGATAATTTGTTTTAGATTCATAGCATTTTC